AACAAACATCTCCATTATGAAAGGTGTAAAAGTTCCAAAATAAGGAATAGGTAGCTGACCATCCAATGTTAAATATTCTTTAATTGATTTTAAATTCACATCTTTTTCTTGCTCTGACTGTAAGTCAACAGAAGACAAATCAATTTTCTCTTCACTGTTATCACTGGTAGCTACAAAAGTTAACTCTGGTGTATGTTCATACTGTTCCATTTTAACTGAAATAGAGGGAGAATTCTCCTTTTTGATCTTTCCATGAATTAGCTCTTCAAATGTTACTTTCCTTGGGGTGTATATTCTTCTAATCTTGTTAATGCATCTGCTCTATTTTTTCGTCCTGTCACATAGTTAATTGTAAATTTTAAATCCATTAAAGCCATGACCCATTTTGCTGTGCTGACATTCAATTTGTTTTGCTTAAATGTTTGTACTAGACTCTGATGGTCAGTATATAAAAAGAATGGCTTGTCTTGAAGGTAATGTAAAAATTTCTTTACAACCCAGTAAACACCAAATGCTTCCTTTTGATAGGCTGCATATTTCATTTGATTATTGTTGAATTGTTTTGAAGCGTAGGCAATGGGTTTCATTGTTTTCTTCCCATTCTCATCTACATAAACTTGTTCAAGAACTCCTCCTACAGCTACATTCGATGCATCTGTTGTTAAGTGAAAATCTTTAGCAAAATCAGGTAGTTGTAATACAGGAGGGTTAACTACTGCATCTCTCAACTTGAAAAATGATTGCTTGGCTTCCTCAGTCCATTGCAATTTATCCTTTTTCCCATGTAGTTTCATTAACATATACAGAGGTTTAGCTACTCTTGCAAAATCTTGTATAAATTTTCTGTAATAGCCACAAAATGCAACAAAGCTTAGTAGTGAATTTGCAAACACTGGTGGCTGTAAATTATATAATTTATCTGTCTTGGACTTATCTGTTTCAATCCCCTTTTCTGATACAATGTGTCCCAAGAATTGAACTTGTTCTTTCAAAAACACACATTTACTTAGTTTAATCTTAAAATTGTACTTTTGAATCTGTTGAAGAATGGTCTCCAATGCTTCCCAATGTTGGTCCAGCGACTTGGTAAATATTATTATGTCATCAAGGTAGTTTAGGCACAAATGCTTTACATCCTTTAGCACAAATGAATTCATTACATAACTAAAATGAGGAGGGGCATTGGTTAATCCAAAAGGCATCTTAATAAATTCAAACAAGCCAAAAGGTGTAATAAATGCTGTTTTAGACCTATCTTCTTTCTTGATGTTAATGTGTGGTATGCACTTGTCAAATCCATTGTAGAAAAGAATTTATTTCCTCCTCCCAAATGGTCAAAAAGATCATCTTGATTTGGCAGTGGATACTTGTTTTTAACTGTCATTTTGTTTAGTTTTCTATAATCTACACACATTCGTAGACTACCTTCCTTCTTTCTTACGAAAACAATTGGTGAAGCCCAATTGCTCTTGCTTGGTTGAATAACTTTGCTTTTTACCAATTCAGCTATCTGTTGCTTACATTCTTCTTGTTTTTGAGGAGGCATTCTATATGGCCTTTGTCTATATGGTGTTGAACCTGGTTCAAGAGTTATTTCCAAGGGTGGTACCTCTGGATTGCCAATATCAAATCTGTCTTCTGCAATAGTTTCTTTATATTTTGCCAGAATTTGGGTAACTTTGTTCTTCATCTCGGGATTTTCTTGTTCAATTGTTGTCTGAAGGGTATGTATTTGACTCTCATTCTTTTTCATAATAAGAGGAACTGGGTAAAACCCTTTGAAAGATAAGTGTTGTGTTCCAACAGGGTAATTCTTTTCTGTACCTGGCTGGAGTATAATCTGTCTCTTGCCAAAGTCAAGGGTAGCTCCATTTTGTTGTAGAAAGTCACACCCAATAATACATTGTTGTGTAATGATTTTGTTGATCAGAAAGCGTTGTTTAATAATCTTTTCATTAAAATAAAGTCTGAGAATGATTTCTCCACATATCTCGATGCTATTTCCTGAAGCATCTCTAGCATTTTTCACAGTTTGTTCTGGGAAGGATGCTTTTCCTTGAACTTGTCTTAATACCTTTTTTGAAATGAAAGATCTGTCACTACCAGAGTCTATCAAGGCATCAAACTTAAAACCAGTATTAGTTTCAAATTGTCCAATAAATGTTGAAGCATTTCGCTCAGATTGTTTGCTTTGTAACAGCTGACAAGTGGATTCGTCACTATCTGAAAAACAGAGAATATCTTGAACTTCGTCGTTTTCTGACATGCTTTCATTGTCTAATGTTTGTAATTTTTGTAGCTTAGGTTCCTCTTTCAGTATCGTCTTTGCTGGTTGATTTTTCTTATAATACCTATTTGTTGTAGTTGGTGCATACTTTTGGACTTTTTGGCTTGAAAACTTTTCTTTAGTAGCATTTTTGTTGTCAGGTACATGCTTTCTATTCCAGAAATTTGGGGTTTCTGTAGAAGCATCTTTTCTGATTACCTGGGTCTTTTTGGTCTCTTTTCTTTGTTGAGTTTCCAATTTTGACACCATTGTGATCGGTTTTCTTTGAGTTAGTTTTAATGAAGTTTCTGCTTGCTTAGCAGCCTCATATAGTTCTGCCAATGTTTGACATTTAGGATGTAAGGTGTACACTAAATGTAGAATATCCTGTTGTAATCCTCTTTGTAAAACTTCCATCAGTTTTATTTCTTTCATAGTTGCAAGCAATTGTGGTTCCATTGGTCTAGGTGGAGAAAACCTCTTTATCAATTTCTTTGCTCTATTAACAAACTGAACCACACTTTCGCCATTCATTTGCTTTAAGTTAAGCAATTTCTCTTGATACTCCAAAGGATCCAGATCAAATTCGTCATGGAGGGCTTTCCATATTTCCTCCACAGTAGGCTCTCCATCCAGAGCCAACACCAAATCCTTTGCAGGACCAGTTAAATAATCTAAAAGATTTGCTTTCACAACATCTTCTCCTATCCAACCATAAGCATAACATGCCTGATTAAAGTCTTCTTTGAATTTTGAACACTCCTTGCTTCCATCATACAACTTGAGAATAGTTCTTTGAGGGCGGTCCCAAGCAGCCCTTAATGCTTGAATTACTGTTGTGATATCAACATTTGGGTTCTGTGCTGGGTGATGTGTTCCATCTCCATGATCTGTTGGAATTGTGATTCGATTTCTTTTCATTTCACTCACCAATCTATCATAGTCTTCAATTAGTCTTTGTTGCCTTTCTGACATTCCTGCTGGCTGAATTGTAATTGTTGGAGTTGCTGGGGTTGAAGGGTTAGAGTCTGTAACTGCCCCAGTGGCGTTTCCATTTCCTCCTTCTGCCATATTTACTTTCTCAAAACTTTTGAATAAACCAAAAGAATATCCTGTCGACTGCGCCAAATTTGTACTGCTCTTGCTGGCAAAATCTATGCGTTTGCAAGTTATAACAATACTGGTTCTACTCGAACCTTTAAACAAATGTTTAAATTAAAATGGTTTATTCGCAATAATAATACTTAAGCAAGTAACAATATGAGAGTTCAATAGCAGAGTAGATAGTTTGTAATAGCAGGTTGCCAAATTACCAAACTGTCTTCCAATGTTGAGGAGTAGATGGATGGTTCCAGTGGAGGTTGTTTCCAGATGATTTTCCCAGGTCCTTGGGTCCAGATGGAAGCTGCATGCCAAATGAGAATAATGAGGATTTATATACTTTGAGGTTTGTCTCTGACATCCAATCATCACTTTACAGTTGCCGAAATGTGTAGTTCATATTTATCTTTAGTAACAGGATGTTACAAGGTTGAACATTTAGGAAGGTTAATTGAATTATAACTTGGCCACACCCTAGGCAAGTTAATTAAATTATAACTTGGCCAAACCTTTATTGGTAATTAAAGATGAGCCTTCAAGCTGACTAATCAGACTTATGTTTGGCCAATGTTATAGCATTTTCTTGCGTAGGTTTTAAGATGTACATGTATATGTTGCATAAAATAATAGAGTTCAAGCATGTAAAATATAACCAAAGTTGTACAATGGAATAGTGATTATCTATTGATTGCAATAAATATTCATTGGAATTTGGAAAAATTGGAAAAGAACTGAGATTGCATTGTCTTAATGTTTCTGAATAGATTAAACTTTGACAATCTTGACTATCCATCTTGCAAATTTTATAACAGTCAATAACATTTTGTATTTGATGAATGGTTGAGTAGATGTAGGATGGCTTAATCCATTTTTGTTCATATTTTAATTGATATTTTACTGTGTAAAAAACCAGAAACAAAATATTAGATTGATTAGCTCAAGTAAAAAAACATATCTCTCTCAAACCTGGAATATTCTCAATAATTTTTTTAATTATTATGTAATAATTACAAGTAATATTTGTTTTGATTTGTGAGGAAATTCTTAAATATTTGGCAAACACTTCCTGTTTACAAAGAAATGTAAAATTTGTAGGTTTGTCAACGCGAAGATGGTATATATTTAAAGTTGTACATAGTATTTCTATCCCATAAGATACAGCATAAACATCTAAATCAGATTGAAAGTCTACACTTTTCATTAAAAGGAAGCCAATTGCAGAAATTTGAGAATAAACTGGTAATTCAATAAAGTAATCTTTAGTAGGATAGAAACTATTACAAATTGAATTTGAAAAGATTGTCGAAGTATCTAATGAATATATAAGATTGGCAGCAGAATGAATTGATTTATTGTTATTGACAAATTGTTTTCTACCAAAAATATAAACTTCGCAAATTTGAATTAAATGATTTCCACCAAATTTATAAAAAGATACTCTATCGCCAATATATTCACATTTGTACAACAATTGCTTTATTTTAAAGTTGTTTGTCAAATTTGAACAAACTGATTTTTGTAAAGTTGTATCAATGATCATTTCAACTGTAACTTGAATATTTTCAAAATTTTCTGCAACAACATAGAAATATTTGAATGGGAAAGAATATGATACAAACATTAAAAGAAGATGCTAACCTTTAGGCGCTTCAAATGGAATTAGTACACCTATTTGATTTATTAAATACTGATTATCCATATAGAGTGTTATTCGTCCTACTTCATTATTATTTGTTGTTAAAGTACCCGAACATGATAAGAATCCATCAGTAAAGGCATTGTTGGCTAAACCATCTATAATCTTTATTGGATATTGAGCACTTTCTTCTTTGTCAGAAATACTTTTAGCATTACTATTCCTATCAATATGCGCAATTGGTAAGAGAACCATATCGTTATCTACAATTTTCTGACCGTACGCTTCTACTTCAAGAATATTGATAGAAGTATGTGAATTTTGGAAAAAGATGGCGAATCGACCAATTGGAAACGGCATTTTGCATTCCCATAATCTATATTCACCACCTGAAAAGTCTTCATTATTCGTAAAACATTTTTCAGAATATAAATGATAATCCTGAATGCTAAAATCTTGATAATTCGACACTAAACCATTGATATGCCTTGCTGTATTGTAACCTGCAAATTCAAATGATAATAACTGATTAAAAGAATATTAGATTAGAGTCAAACAATACCATGCATATCTCCATTTAAAATTGCCATTTTATAAATAGTGTACTTTGAAAACATATCAATTCTTGCCCATTGTTGGAAACCTTCTTCAGAATGAAAGAAACTATTGTACAGACCATCAGTTAACTTTTGAGGAGTGTATATAGAATTATAATTTGAAGATGTCCATACTGGTTTACGATACAATATATTAATATTTTCTTCATTGGATTGTCTTATATAATTGCCAAAAACTTCTATTTCACCAATTACAAATGTCACAGGAGTAGCTCTTTGTGTTCTAAGTACAACAAATTGACCTTCGACCCCTCCTCTAGGGCACAAAAGTGAATACGAGATTTCAAAGTGGGAAATGAAACTTTCTGTATTGTCTGGATGTTCTCCACATAAACTGTATTTTAATGGGTCATATTCTAAGTATGGATTTTCATTTGTAAGTTCAATACGAAATTGATTAGAGAGAGTGTTTTGTACCGGTAATATAAAATCAATAACAAGAACATTATAGTAAGCAAATAGATTAATTGCAATCCAATACTGCCCTCCAATTTTCACCTGTGTAGTTTCACTTGTAAAACCATCAGTTAATATAAACAAGTCCATCTGGGAAAATTTGTAGGTAACTCCTTTCAAATAGGCTATATTGTCTATAAATAGAAAGAAAAGAAACAATTATATCAATCATTGAAAAATGATGATAACTTTACTAGAAATTATTTCAATTTCGCATAAATGCAAAAAGTTTGTATTTTTTGATTTAACTGTTAAACTAGAACTTCTAGATTGTTGTAGTTTGTTACATAGCACTGTTGTTGGTGAATTATTTGCCAATATGATATTATCATCAGTACAGATATTAAAAATATTGTCCATGTAAATTTCCAATTGTTGAGTAACTAAAGGAGAAAACAATAGATTTTTATCTGCAGAGAAAAAAAATAATCAAATTATTGACCTACTTTGCTGATTGGTTGGCCATAGAATTACTTTCTTGAGAGTATGTTGCCCTTTTAAATGAATTGTAATTATGGGTTGAAGAATGCGTAAGAGTCTCTTTAATATTGTACAAGAACCCAATGTAATTTTATTATCATGTAAACCATCTACAACATGTTTTGGATCATATAGAGAACCTTCAAAATATCCACTATAATCAATTTTTTTAAAATTGAATGCTATATTCATTTCATTGCCATCCATATGTTCGAAACAGATTCGCCTATAGAAATTTGAATGCAAATTCACACCATATAATTTTATAGAATTCTCATATACATCTTTTGCATAATTATCAAATTGTAAAACAGTCATTGTTTGATAATTAGTTTCAACTTTAAATTGTTGACCAAAACAACCATTTTCTTTCCATATCTGATGATAACACTCTTCAATTAGTGGTAATTGATTTTCATCTATTCCGCAAACTGCGTGCTTTTTATCTGAATTTTGTTATAAAAGGGAAATTTTAATGACAATGATTTAAAAATCAATTTTTTATTTTGGTTGTAAAATTTAATATTTTATTACTTTTCAAAAGAATTAATGAATAGTCAGAATTGAAAGCTAGGGATGATACTACGATTCGAGAGAGAAAGAGTCAAGAAAATTCTTAATCATACTGAGGATTATCAATGGGAATATGTACCCACAGAGAATAATCTGGCTGATAAATTGTCAAAATTAAGAGATTTTTCTTTAAAGGACAATTGGTTCAGTTTGGAAGATGCAGCAGAGAGAGAAAGTGTTCAAACAGTCCTTCTGGGGAAGGTGATCTTGCCATGGGAACAAGAAAGCAATTTCAGAAGAGAAGTAGCAGGTGATCCCAATAAATTTACTTCAGTAATTAATGAGAGAAAAACAAAGGAACAGAAAATTATACCATCTGCAGTAATGGAAAAATTAAAATTGACCAGAAATGAATGGGGACATTTGGAAGTTGTTTTAAGAGATAAACAAACTAGAACCTTATTGCATAAAAATATGAGTGTAGCGAGAGTACTTATGAAATATGTACATTTAAGAACTGGCCATTCTGGACCTAATGCCATGCGACATAGATTGAGGCATTTGTTCTGGACAGTTGGAGAGGTAGTGTTAGCAAATGACGTTTATGATAAGTGCCAGGAGTGTGAGGAGTGGAGGAAAAACAAAAGGTTCCAATATGATGGAAATCAACAGTGTAAGGATCAAATTATGGGTGAACCGATTCCCTTCAAATCAATCGGAATAGATGTGTTCGGACCATTCAAGAATAAAAACAGTGAAAAAAGATATGTCCTTATAGGAGTATGCTTAAAAACAAAGGCTGTCGCATTAGAACTAATGGAATCTATTAACAAGAATAGTGTTCAGTTAGCTTTACTGAGAATAAGATATTTAAGAGGACCAATAACAAACATTAGATTGGACAATGCAGCAACCTTTGCCCAAGTTTCAAAAAACTTTAATGGAAACTGGAAATTTACAAGCCCTAGAGCTCCGTATCAAGGAGGCTTATGGGAACGATCAATAAGAACTGTGAAATGGATTCTGTATCCTTACCTAAAGAATTGTTTTAAAGAAGAAAGTTGGAGAAGCCTACTCGCAGTTGCTGAGGAAGCTGTCTCCAGGAAACCCCTTACAGCACTCATGAAAGACCCGGATCAAGAAGTACTAAGCCCGAAAACTCTCATTAAATATTATGGAGACTTAATGGCAAACTGGCGAAACTCCAAGAAAGCCAGGGACAATTGGAAGAAGATTTGTTTCAAATGGAACAGAGAAATGTTGGAAGAAGTTATGAGAGAAGTTAGAGAAGATGAAAAGAGAGAAAGGCCTTATATTGGACAAAAAGTGTTAGTTAAGAATGACAGAAATAGGGTTGAATATAAGAAAGCAAAGATATCTCATTTGATTAAGTCTGACGATGGGAAGATCAGAAACGTTCTACTAAAAACGTCAGATGAAAAAGAGATGCGGAGAAGTTTAAAAGACTTGATCCCAATTAAATAATATATGTTTGTTATATTAGGATCAACCTTAAAGTTTTACCTATTTCCCTGTAATTTTAAAACAGTACATTGTAGGCCTATGTTATCATTATTAATAGAAGGTCAATTCATTAATGCACTATCACTAAAAAACTTTCACAACTTGTGATCCCTGAATGAAAAGTTATTGACACTTCAGTGGTGGCACGGTATGGATGATGGTATAAAGCAAAGAGTAATTATTCAATTTCTTGCTTCACAGTAAGTTATTGCAATCGATATTCACAGGCAACTGAAAGCTTTTTTTTGGAAACATGGGTATTCTATCATAAATCATTGACTAAAAGAGTTTCTTTAGAGTATCATACAAAGTTTTCTTCATCACCAAAAAAGGTTAGAGACAGGTAAGTCTGCAGACAAACTGATGACATGTATGTTTTGGGACAAGGAAGGCTTATTCACCTAGAACTTTTAAGTGTGCAAGTCAGAATGAATTCAGAGATTTAAGTCAGCTTTTTAAAGAGATTAAAACAAAGAATAAATAGAATCATGCCTGGTAAAGAGGTGATTTTATTACAAGATAATGCCAGATCTCATACAAGCTTACAAACTACTCAATATCTTAGAACAACTGGATGGGTAATCTTGCCTCATCCAGGCTACAGTCCATACCTGGCGCCATCAGACTATTATCTTTTCTGGAAATTAAAGGACAATCTCTGGGGTGAAATATATGAGAATGATGAGGAATTACAAAATGCAATAAAGGCATTTTTCAGGTCCAAATTGCTTAAATACTTCGTCAAAGGAATTGATATGCTTCCTGTCAGGTGTCAAACATGCATTGACAATAATAGGGAATTCGAAGCTATATAGACATACATAAGACATTAATTAATATTTATGACAAAACATATTATGTAATTTTTTTTTAGCTGTAAGACACAAATGGGTAAAACTCTCAGGTTGATCCTCATATTGAGTACAATTAAAATATTTCAAACTTTGTGCTATAATTAACTAATGTAGCGAATACTTTCCAATAACCTTAGTGAACAAGTAAAAATGAAAAAAACATCTTTGCCAAGATCTAGTCACCAAAAAAATATTGGTTCAAATTTATTATTTTATTTGATTGTTGATGGGCTGAAAAGAGAGGCTGACCTTACTTCTATGATGAGAGCTCAAAACAAAAACACATGTAAGAATCTTTATCTATAAATAATAAAAACATCTGAAGAGAAACTCTTTTAAAAAGATCCTCAAACCTATCACTATTTTAAACAGAATAGTGGATCCTGAAAAGTGACCAATGTTAAATTTAAAAGAGACAGTGACAAAAGTCCAGTAGGTCGAGTATGAAGGAATGCTTTTAAACAAATTTTCTATTGAAAATTACTTTTAAAAATTGATTTTTTCTTTAACTGCTTCCCAAAATCAATTAAGAGTGTTGAAATATGAGAGTTCTGTTTCTCTTTTTTTTCCACTTTGGAAGCTAATAGAAAGAATATATTGGTTGACAGTTAGAACTATTAAATTTTTACAGTTTATATAATCTTATATATTTTTTAAATATATATATAAAGTTTTGGAAATATGCTACAAAAACGTTCTACAATTGAAAAATTAGATCTTTAGGGCAATAATCAAAATCAATTTTAGCGAAAATGTGTTAATTTCGCAAAATTAGCCCTTACTTGTTCAAAATAGTTGCTCCTTGGTTTTTAACCAGAAAAGGTAGATTTTCACTTAAAACTAACATGTAATAAATAATTCTAGAGAACTAACTATCATTTAATGTTTGAGAGAGACCAATAAACTTCTCTTCTTTATAATTCATATTCTCTACTTAAGATATTTAAACTTTTTTAAATAACAGATAGTTAAAAGTTAATAAATTCTATTGCTTTCAATGATTGTTGAAGTCCTTCACAAATATTAAAAAATCCATTTTCCTTTAACATATTACTATTTGAATTTATTATTTCTAACTTTGAACAATATTTTTGAAGATTTTCAAATTCCGTACTTTGTTCCTTACTCAAACTGCAGTTAGACAAGTTAACACACTTCAATGTCTTTGATGATTGTAGAAGTCCTTCACAAATACTAAAAAACCCACTTTCCATTTCATTGTTACCTGATAAATCAATTCCTTCTATCTTGGAACATTTTTTGAGGAGATTTCCAAATTGTATACATTGCTCTTCTTTCAAACTACAGTAAGACAAATTAACAAACAGTAATGTTTGTGATGATTGTTGAAGTCCTTCACAAATATTAAAAAACCCACTTTCCATAATTTGATTAATATATAAATCAATTCTTTCAATTTTTGAGCAAATTTTCAAAAGATTTCCAAATTCCGTACTTTGTTCTTCACTCAAATCACAAGCAGTCAAATTAACGAACTTTAATGCCTCTGATGATTGTTGAAGTCCTTTAAAAATATCAAAAAATCTACTTCCTATTTTATCATTAAATGATAAATCAATTTTTTCTATATTGGAACAATATTTCAGTAGATTTCCAAATTCTTTGCTTTGTTCTTCACTCAATTCACAGGAGGACAACTTAAGAAGTTTTAGCATTTTTGATGATTCTTGAAGCCCTTCACAAATATCACAAAAACCCCTTCCCATGTCATCATTAAATGATAAATCTATTCCTTCAATTTTGGAACAATATTTGAAGAGATATCCAAGTTTTGTACTTTGTTCGTTACTCAAACTGCAGTAAGACAAATTAAGAAACTTTAATGTCTCTGCTGATTTTTGAAGACCATCACAAATACCAAAAAATCCACTTTCCATTTCACTGTTACATGATAAATCAAATTTTTCTATTTTGGAACAATATTTGAGGAGATTTCCAAACTTTCTACTTTGTTCTTCTCCCAAATCACAGGAAGAGAAGTTAACAAATGTTAATGTTTGTGATGATTGTTGAAGTCCTTCACAAATACTAAAAAACCCACTTTTCATTTCATTGTTACCTGATAAATCAATTCCTTCTATCCTGGAACAATATTTGAGGAGATTTCCAAATTCTTTACTTTGTTCTTCTCTTAAATCACAGGAAGCTAATTTTATAAATTTTAGTATTTCAGATGATTGTTGAAGCCCTTTACAAATATCGAAAAATCCACATTCCACCCAGTCATTGCAATTTATATTTATTTTTTCTATTTTGGAACAATATTTGAGGAGATTTCCAAACTTTGTCCCTTGTTCTTCATTCAAATCACAGGAAGAGAAGTTAACAAACTTTAATGTTTCTGATGACTGCTGTAATCCTTCACAAATATCAAAAAACCCACTTCCCATTTTATCATTAAATGATAAATCAATTCCTTCAATTTTGGAACAATATTTAAGGAGATTTCCAAATTCTTTACTTTGTTCTTTATTCAAGTCACAGCCAGCCAAATCAACAAACTTTAATGTTTTTACTGATTGTTGAAGTCCCTCACAAATATTAAAAAATCCACTTCCCATTTCCTTGTTGTATGATAAATTCATTATTTCTACACTACAACAATTCCTGAGCAAATTCTGCAATATTTTACATCGTTCTTCATTTAATACACATTTTGGGAAATCAAGAAATTTTAATGTTTTTGACAATTGTTTAAGTCTTTGGCAAATATTAAAAAAGCCACTTTCCATATTTTTAATAGCAGTTACATCCATTGTTTACTTTCATTAATATTGGATAAGCAAATCTGCTAATTAAATACTTTGTTATTTAGCCTTATTGAAGATCTAACTCTGTTTACACTTAAAAATTAATCTTGATGCGTTGTTATCTATATACAGATAGACACTCAGTATTCTAAGAGAGAATTGAGGAACAGAAATGTTTAATGGTTATAAAAAGGTTAATAGTATAACTTTATTGTCTAAAATATGGTTATAAGAGTGGTTGTTAGAATTAGGAATTAGAATGAAAAATGTTTCTAATCTGAAACATGCAGTGTCCATAAAAGTAAGTACTTTTCATTTTGACTTGTTGTATCAATAAAGATTTAAAAAGCTGAAATTCTGATGAGATCATATTTAACATGTAACAAATTTTCTTTTAGACATGAAAAACTGTTACCTTAAACTTACTTAGCCTACTCGGATATTTTTTGCATACCAAAGACTGAATAATTATCGAGCTTTAATTGAGCATTCATTAAAATTGAATACATTCAAAAAATACTATTTAATTGAGTTGTATAAATTCATTGAAAACAACTAACATCTGTTTCATTTTGTATTATTTGTAATATAATTGATTTCCTACATTTTTCACAATAATCCAGGTTAGCATAGGGTTAGATAAGGTTAATCTAATAGATTTAATCAATTTATATATAAAAATTTACTCTCTTATCTATCGGGAAAAAATCAGATGGGAGGCCATTTTTTAAAGAAATAAATGGTCACGTGTTAAACACGGATAAGGGTGAATTAAATTATCTGGATGCAGTGCACTACAACATACTACGGTGTATACTTATAAAGTATGTTCATTACATTATTTTTGATTGGTGTTCTTATATTTTTAATAAGATATATAGAACAATTTCTCAGGTCATTTTATATACCTGATATAGAAGATAAGTATGTTTTGATAACAGGATGCGACACAGGTAAAATATTTTATTGTTTTGATGTTATTTCTTAGAAAATTTCTATTCAAACACTTTTTTCAAGGATTTGGAAATTTACTTGCAAAAAGTTTAGATAATAAAGGAATAAATGTTATAGCAACTTGTCTAACTGAAGATGGAGCTAAACAATTATCTGAATGTTGTTCAATGAAGTTAACAACTTACATTCTAAATGTTACTAATGAAGATGAAATTGATAACTTAAAGGAAATGATTACAAAAAAAGTTGGTGATAAAGGTTTGCATGCCTTAGTGAATAATGCAGGAATCCTTGGAAAAGATTTTGGTTCGCCAGAGACTTTATTAATGTCAGATTTAACAGAAGTTTTAAAAGTAAATACTGTTGGACCAGCAGTACTTTGTTTTAAATTTCTTGAATTGTTACATATGGGAAAAGGCAGAATAATAAATATGGGATCAATGGCTGGAAGAGTTCCATCTGTATATTTCTTATATGGTATTTCTAAATATTGTATTGAGGGTTTATCAAGCATTTTAAGGTAAAAAAAACTATGATAAATATTCATACATTTATTGTATAAATTTTCATATTAAACAGTTTTCAATTGAAAAAATATGATTGGAATGTTTCTGTTCATACAATTGAACCTCAGCATTTTTCAACTACCCTATCTGTAAATAGAGCTCTTGAAAATAGTGTTAAAGATGGATATAAAAGAGTATCAAAATTTACAAAAGAAAAATATCCAACTGAAAATGATTATCTTAATACTTGTAAGTAATTTTGTTACCTTTTCATCTTTACCATATACAAACAACATCATTTTTTTAGTTTGGCGACAGCTTGGTAAAATTCCATTAAGTGATAGAATAGATTACGTTACTGATGCATACGAACATTCCATTCTTTCAGTATGGCCTAAAAATAGATATTCAGTTGGTAATTTGGCAAAATATGTTATAGTTCCTCTGAGTTACTTTCCAACCAGCATTTCCGATGGAATTTTATGAATTGAAATAAATAAAAATAATAAAAAATAAGACCAAATTTTCTATTTTCAGTTTTCTCAACCTTAATTACTATGCATAAAAGCAATAGAACTCATCAATGATTGCCTTTTTCATACAATTCTTTATTAATTTCCATCTTTAAAAAACAATTTAAAACTTCATTAAAAATTCAATTATTACGTTTTATAAATGATTTAACAGTAGTTCATTTCGTCAAGATTCTACCACAATCTTCACACGCATGCTTTGATACAGATATAACAGAATGTCTAAATAAAAATACCTGATTTATAGTAACTGTTTTATTCAAAATTTTATTCACTCATGCCAACAGATGAAACTTCTAAAAGTACAGCAAAATAGCCAAAAAGCAGGCGTATCCTGCTGGAAAATTAATTGATGGAGAGGAGAAAAGAACACATTCATAGAGCAAATGGAAATGTATCATCATACATAATAATAAAAAAAGATTTAAGAGATATGTGCTAGATTGACGCACATTAAAGTGGAACAAGAATGTCTGAAACAGATCTCTTTGAACATAAAGAACAAACTCATACTCTGCCAAATATTGACTCTTTGGAAAGAGTTGGAAATTTTCCAAGACAAAAATTTAGGCCCTATGAACCAAGGGAAGTGAATTAAATAAAGATTTCATTTCTGTTGATTTCTTAAAAAATGACATTTATGAAAACAACAACAGCATCCTCTTTTTACCAAAATCGTCATGTTGATTTACTTGGCAAATCAAAATCACTGGTTCATAGATGAAACATATTGTATGGAGTTGACTACTTCCCCATACTCCAGGAGTTCAATATGGACTAAGCTTGAACTATAGATTGGCAAATACACAGTCTGGGCATGAGTAGTATCCAACAAGCTTTATGCATTCAAAATATCAGACAGTTTTCCAGGGTGAAACCTCACCAAAAAATTTTTGTCCTATTTTAGGATTAATTTTTGGGCTAAATTTGCATTTATTATAGATGTGTTTGCTTGTACCAAATTAAGACGGTATAATCCGAATATTGTGTAAGATATTGATTCCCTGATAAAAAGTGTTCCTGTAGTCTTTTTTTCTTTCGAGAGTTAACTGTATTGATAGCAACAGGTTGTCTTTTTGCTAATCTTACTCTACTGGCTTGGTAATATTTTTTCTTGACTTTCAAAATTTCCACTTCAAACTGTACTGGTCTTTCTCCGCCATTTTATGACTTTACAAGTTTTTAACAGTACTGGTTCTACTCAAACCTATAAACAAATGTTTGAATTTTAAATGGCTTATTTAATGTAGATTACACAGCATGCAATAGTTTGTTTTGAATTTAAATTCTTATAAAATATATTCACTTTAAAAATTTTGTAATATTTTTTCCAAATTTTTAAGTCACTTCCGGTAAGTTAGTTTTAGAATGAAATTTTTTGTCATTTTGACTTTTACTCTTAATTAATATTTTTTTTACAACTTTTTCTTAAATTTACACAAGTTGAATGTAACTTGTCCGATAGATATTCACTTTGAGTCTCTTAACAAGTGTTTTGCTGATTTACAGTAATAATTCTTCCTTCTGCAAATATTTGAAGATATTAGTGAGGATGTTTTAAACCAATATCATTTATTCGTAATTTACGATTTAAACCAGCAACTGTATTCCGGAGTGATATTAGGGGATCTCAACAATTTTTTTGAAAATTAGATCTCAACATAACATTTAAATAGTCTATTATAGCTTTGCCAAATTTAATAAAGCCATTTTCTATAGACAACAAAAAGTTGTTCCATCGCTTGCAAATAATATATTCTTTAAATACATTATCCCTAATTGTTTGTTTAGATTCTTCTAAATAAAGTCAAGGCCTAAAATACCCGGACACTGGAAATTTTGATAAGCCAATTTTGAAAACACCCCAAAAATGTTATCTTTGTTTTAAATTGGTTTTTTTGTCTAAATTTCCATGAAGAAAGAGTTATATTTATGTAATACTGAAAAAAATTATAGAAAATTATCATATTTGTGAAAATTATTAGCAAAATTTTTTTATTAATTTTTATTGTTTTTTTCTTTATTTGGCCATAAGTCCAAATTAACCATACATCCGGATTACATCCAGTTTTGCATTTGAATAGATGTCTTAAACTGAAATTTTTTTAAAGCAAAATTAATTTTCCAAGTTAAGTTGATTACTTATTATCTATTTTACCTACTTTGGTTAATTTTTATATCATTTATTTCATTATGGCATGGGGAAAAGAGGTTAGGAACCTGGTAATCCAGAAATATGAAGAATTGGGGAAAGTAAGGGAAACTGCATGGGCTTTGGGAATGGTATCATCTACAGTTAGTGACATTTTAAGGTATAAGCCACCCAAACAAGAGAATAGGGGTCATCCAAAGAGACTCACAGAAAGAGATGTAGCTAGAATGAATAGGATTGTGAAGAGACTTAAAAGAAACAAGGAAAGGGTGACTGCTAGGAAGATTTTAAATGAATTAGAGGTAGATGTAGGCCTGAAGACAATTCAGAGAGAGTTGAAATTGCAAAATTTTTGTTATAAACGAATTCGACAAAGAGTTGATCTCACAAGCAATGACTGCAAAAGAAGGAAACAGTATTGTTTAAAAACTATTCGAGATAACTTAGATTGGTCAAGAGTCATATTTACAGATGAGGCAAGGTTTTCATTGAGTGGTCCTGACAACTTCAGGACCTGGACAAATAACAGGGAAAAAGAGATGAGATTAACAAAAAATATGGGCAGAGGTGGAGTAATGGTTTGGGGACTGATAACCTCGGATGGTGTGTTTGAGGTATGGAGAGTAAGCAAAAGATTGAATGCCCAAAACTATGCTACATTTGTGGTCAAAGATGTTCTCCCAGTTATAGAAGAAATCTCAGATAAAATGGGGAGAGATTATATCTTCCAGCAGGATAATGCTGGGTGCCATACTGCAAGAGTTACCAGCAGGGCATTCAGGATGAACAAAAATCCTGACTTGCTACCAAATCTGTATGATGGAATGGGGGTAGGATCAGTACATGCATTGAGAAAGAAGGTCACGAAATACAGAAGTAGTAAAAATATTAGTCCTCCAACCATTGTCCTGAATAATGTGACTCACGGCCAAATAAGAAAAAAACTTATGAAAATATACACTATATAAAAATGAAAAAAATTATGTAAAAACTTATCTAAACACTATTTGATAGAAATTTCTATGTAGATCCAAGTTTCGCCTAATATTTCATTGCTACAAAATAGAAAAAAAATTCTTTTTTGATCAAGAAAAAGATTTTTAATCTTCAGCCTATCACAATTTACGGTGTCCGGGTATTTTAGACCTTCACTTTATATGTCACTTTTTACTGCATTTGATATCATTGTTTCAAAAGTTCTGGTATATGACATAATTGTACAGAAATCTCACCACATATACAGTACTGATATAAAGTCTCTGCCAGGGTTGTTGTTAGATTGGAAAAAGTGAATTATTTAACCAACAGGACTTGCTTAATTAAATCTTTTTGTTTAGAATGAAGGATAAGATATTTATACAACGAAATTTATAGATAAAACTTTTTCAAAAAGTTTTCTAACTTTACAGTAATCTTTATTTCAAAATTTTCAACAAAATGAAGGAG